CATTAAAAGGGATGAAAATCACTTTATTTATCAAAATCTTTATTTATCATGTAACAACTTTTCCATAGTACTGGAGAGTAAAACTCTATTAAACAAAAAAATTCTCGAGCACATTTTGAGTCAGTAACAGTAACATGTCAATATGTTACAGACTCAAATGCGTTTAAAAACATTTTAGTAACAATAAATTGTGTAAACTGATGAGGAGGATGAGGACTGAGGAGAAGGAGGACTGAGGAGGACAGAGGAGGAAGACTGAGGAGGACCAGGACGAGCACTAGGAGGATGAGGACGAGGACTAAGGACGAGGACTAGGAGGATGAGGACGAGGACTAAGGACGATGAGGACGAGGACTAAGGACGAGGAGGAGGACGACTGAGGAGTAGGACTGATTAGGAGGAGGACTGATTAGGAGGAGAAGGAAGAGAAGAAGGAGGAGGATAAGGAAGATAACTGAGGAGGAGGAGGAGAAGGAGGAAGACTGAGGAGAAAGAGGAGGACCGAGAAGGACTGAGGAGGAGGAGGACTGAAGAGGAGAGGGAGGACTGAGGAAGAGGAGCAGGATTGGTGGAGGAAGACGAGAAGGAGGAGAAGGAGGAGGATTGGTGGAGGAAGACGAGAAGGAGGAGAAGGAGGAGGACGAGAGCGAGGACGAGGAGGAAGACTGAGGAGGAGGACTGTTAAAAAGGAGAAGGACGAGGACTGAGGAGGAGGACTGAGGATGAGGAGAAGGAGGACTGGGGGAGGACTAAGGACGAGGAGGACTGAGGAGGAGGACTGAGGATGAGGAGGAGGACTGAGGATGAGGAGAAGGAGGACTGGGGAGGACTGAGGAAGAGGAGGACTTAGGGAGGACTAATGAGGAGGAGGACTGAGGAGGATGATGAGGAGGAGGACTGAGGATGAGGAGGAGGAGAAGGAGGACTGGGGAAGGACTGATGAGGAGGAGGACTGGGGGAGGACTGAGGAGCAGGAGGATGACTTAGGAGTAGGAGGAGAAGGAGGAGAAGGAGGAAAAGGATGAGAGGGAGGAGGAGGACTGAGGAGGAGGAGGAGGAGAAGAAGGAGAAGGAGGACTGGCGAGGAGGAAGACTGACGAGGAGGAGAAGGACTGCGGAGGGGGGGGGGCCAATGGCATAAAATGGCATAAAATGGCATAAAATGGAGACTTTTTCTATGGAGAAAATGGAAAAACCCATGAGTAATTCTCCATTGTCTCCATTTTATGCCATGAATTTTGTCTTCGAAATTTCATCTTTAACACCATTTAACACCTAAATTGGACATCCTTACATGTTTATTTACGCTTACTAGGGGCGTAACAAGCTTATGAAAGCTCATAGTAGGCTACTAGATGCTTATACTAGGTTAGTAGAGGCACACTTCAGGCAAACTCATAATTACTCAAGCCTAGTGTAAAGTTATTTCTACAGGCTACAGCAGGAGTGAGTAATAATAGGGGAGAGTAATAGGCACTGAGAAGTGAGACCTACATCCTCGACAGTCGAAACAAGCTCGCACTGCAAAGGGGAGCCCTGCCTTCCGAGATCGCATTACCATGGGGAAGCCTCGAGTCCAAATTTGTGTATCGAGGGGTAGGTGCAGACTTCGATAAACCGAAAAACCAAAAAAATATTTTCGGCTTATAATAAAGAGGGTAGCATGAAACGTGGAGAAAAGTGGTTTTTAGAAAAACTGTCAAAAATTTTGACTTAGAAAATTTTCGGCCCGAGTCATTCTCGATACGTACCTCTCGTATCGAGAGCTCCCGATTCCGAGCTCGTGTTGCAAAGGGGAGGCCTGCCTTCCGAGATCGCATTACCAGGGGGAAGCCTCGAGTCCAAAATTGTGTACCGAGCGAGGGGTAATTTTTTTCAAAGTTTTTCTAAAAAACACTTTTCTCCACGTTTCATACTACCTTGTTCATTATAAGCCGAAAATATTTTTTCGGTCAAAATTTTTCAAAGTTTTTCTAAAAAACACTTTTCTCCACGTTTCATACTACCTTGTTCATTATAAGCCGAAAATATTTTTTCGGTCAAAATTTTTCAAATTTTTTCTGAAAACCACTTTTCTCCACGTTTCATGCTACTCTATTCATTATTTGCCGAAAATATTTTTTCGGTTTTTCGAAGTCCACACCTTCCCCTCGATACACAATTTTGGACTCGAAGTAATGCAATCTCGGAAGGCAGGCCTCCCCTTTGCAACACGAGCTCGGAATCGGGAGCTCTCGATACGGGAGGTACGTTTCGTAAATGACTCGGACCGAACATTTTCTAAGTCAACATTTTTCAAAGTTTTTCTGAAAACCACTTTTCTCCATGTTTCATGATACTCTGTTCATTATTGGCCGAAAATATTTTTTCGGTTTTTCGAAGTCCACACCTTCCCCTCGATACACAATTTTGGACTCGAGGTAATGAGGTAATGCGATCTCGGAAGGCAGGCCTCTCCTTTGCAACACGAGCTCGGAATCGGGAGCTCTCGATACGGGAGGTACGTTTCGTAAATGACTCGGACCGAACATTTTCTAAGTCAACATTTTTCAAAGTTTTTCTGAAAACCACTTTTCTCCATGTTTCATGATACTCTGTTCATTATTGGCCGAAAATATCTTTTTTTTTAAATAATTTTTCTCGAAATTCTAAATTTTTCAGGTTTTCCATGGCATAAAATGGCATAAAATGGCATAAAATGGAGACTATTTCTATGGAGAAAATGGAAAAACCCATGAGTAATTCTCCATTTTCTCCATTTATGCCATTGGCCCCCCCCCCCCCCCCCCCCCCCCCCCCCACTGCGGAGGAAGAGGACTGAGGAGAAGGACTGCGGAGGAGGACTGACGAGTAGGAGGAAGAGGAGGACTGACGAGGAGGACTGACGAGGAGGAGAAGGACTGCGGAGGAGGAGGAGGACTGAGGAGAAGGAGGAGGAGGAGGACTGACGAGTAGGAGGAAGAGGAGGACTGAGGAGGAACAAGATGAGGACTGAAGAGGATGAGGAGGATGAGAAGGAGGACTGGGGGAGGACTAAGGAAGAGGAGGACTTGGGGAGGAGGATGAGGAGGAGGAGACTGATGAGGACGAGGAGGACTGAGGAGGAAGACTGAGCAGGATGAGGACGAGGACTAAGGACGAGGACTAGGAGGATGAGGACAAGGGCTAATGAAGAGGAGGAGGACGACTGAGGAGGAGGACTGATTAGGAGGAGAAGGAAGAGGAGAAGGAGGAGGAGGATGAGGAGGAGGACTGAGGAGGAGGAGGATAAGGAGGAGAACGAGGAGGAGGATGAGGAGGATTGAAGAGGAGGAGGATAAGGAGGGGAATGAGGAGGAGGAGGAGGAGGATGACTCAGGAGGACTCAGGAGGTGGAGGAGGACGAGGAGGAGGACTCAGGAGGAAGACTGAAGAGGAGGAGGAGGATGATGAGGATGAGGACTGAGGAGGAATACTGAAGAGGACGAGGACCAAGGACGAGGAGGAGGACGACGACGACTGAGGAGGAGGAATGATTAGGAGGAGAAGAAAAAGGAGAAGGAGGAGGAGGAGGAGGAGGAGAAGGAGGAGGATGAGGACTGGGGGAGGACTGAGGAGGAGGATAAGGAGGACGAGGACTAAGGACGAGGACGAGGACGAGGACGATTATGAGAAGGACAGAGGATGAGGACTGATGAGGAGGAGAAGGAGGAGGATGAGGAGGAGAAGGAGGAGGAGGACTGGGGGAGGACTCAGGAGGAAGAGGATGATGACTCAGGAGGAGGATGAGGACTCAGGAGGAGGACTCAGGAGGTGGACTCAGGAGGTGGAGGAGGATGAGAAGGACTCAGGAGGAGAAGGACGACTATGAGGAGGACTGAGGAGGACTGATGGGGAGGAGAAGGAGGATCAGGAGGAGAAATGAGGATGAGGAGGAGGAGAAGGAGAAGGAGAAGGAGAAGGAGAAGGAGGAGGACTGGGAGTAGGACTGAGGAGGAGAAGGGGATTGAGGAGGAAGGTGAGGAGGACTGAGGAGAAGGACGAGGACGAGGAGTCAGGAAGAGGACTGAAGAGGACTCAGGAGGAGAAGGACTCAGGAGGAGGAAGACTTAGGAGGAGGAGGACGAGGACATCTAAATGTTTTGTCTGTTTTTGTCCGTTTTTGTCCGCCCTACTTTTTGTCCGTTTTGAAAATACAGGGTACCGAACGGACACAAAACATGATCCCCCAGCCAAGCATGTGTTACGATACAAATGTACTTGACTATACATTTAAGGTGCAGTGTACTAGTGATATTATGGTATGTTTAAAGACCGGACCACAAAATATAACCCGGTACCTAGTGTTGTACTAATACATAATAACAAGTAACAGGGATAAAATTAATGAGCAGAAACAATCGATCTCACGTCAAGAGGCCAAAGCACCTGGGTCTGGGAGTACATGACAACTCCAACTAGTAGTGAGCATACTAGCCCCTGCAGTGGAAAAACACATAAAACATACTATTGGAATGTCCAATTAGTTTGTTTTCTCATAACAATATAGCATATGTAGGGGTTCTGGTTGAATTATATCACTTCTGAGAGGTTTTAGAGATCGATTCTCTAAAATTTCTCAATTTTCCGATTTTTCCGATTCCGATTTTGGCCTCATCAACCCTCATATCGGACATCGGGTTAGACCCCCCCCCCCCCCCCCCCCCCCCCCCCGATTTTCAATGATGTATTAGTTTGTTTTAGAGACTCCATTATCCATCATTAGCTCATAATAGACATCATATCACTCACAAGCGAACATGAAATTAGATCGATTAAGAAGACAATGTTGACTGCAAAGATAGTTTTGGTTTTGGTTTAAAGTGCTTATACACGTCACATAAGTCTAATGTAGGACTTCTAGGCAATGAGCTTGGTTGGCTGCAAAGATAACTACAATAACTTTTAGTTGGGCAATCTACTTGAAGTCTACTTAAAGACTGAAGTACATACAAATAAAATATCATTGCTTTAGCTGAAACTTGAAAAGAGGATACAATCCGCCATTCACACAAAGCAACTAAAAATCAAAAGATTGAATCAGAATAACTTAACAAGAAACGAATCTTTTATTAAAACTTTAAAATAACTAAATGTGATCATCTTGTTTCTAAAACAAACGTCTAAATAATTGAAAAGCGGATACAACTATTGACCCTAAAATAACACAACCACAATAGTAAGTAATCTATTGCTATCACATTTGTTCACACAATTCCCCCGACATTATCAGTTTCACAGATGACTAATGTTTCTGCTTGAAATTTCTGTATTCTTTAAGATCCTTTAACACGTTACAATAGGCAATGGTGGGGTCCATAAAAGTGCAGGAAATTGATTGCGTATATAACGCGTCAAGAACATAAACTTTACTCCATTGTGTTTATTCTTGGAAAATTCAAAACCGAATAGAAAATGATGTCAAATTCAATAGTTAATCCATTCCTAATTCCTACATATTCTGACAAACTTATAAATCACATTTTTTTAAACTTAATTTTCTTGACACATGTATTCCATTATAAGACACTGAAAGGTGTTCTTGCAATCATAGCATATATCAAGAGACGGTTTATAAACGAACTTAAATCTTAATCGGCACTTAATCAAGTACTAATTCAACAAAATTGGCAACTATATGAGTCTAAGAACGCTCTTTGGCTTTTTGGTATGACATCTATCAAAAGTATAGGAGCCATCTACTTAGGACGACCGCCAAAATCGCCAATCACTTTTTCGTTAATTCTGCCAAAATTTCCGGACGTCCGGATTTTCAGAAACCATCCCCCCTCCCCCTGTCCGGATTTTTCCGAAATTCCAAAACCACCCTCCTCCCAATTTGCCGGACGTCCTAAGTAGATGGCCCCTTATGACTTCAATATTCATGGCGTACCTACAAATATAAGATCTAATAAATCTCAAACAGTCAAAAAGACTCATAATCACGTGATATCACGACAAAATCATGTAAACGATAAAACTTCACATAGTCACGTGATCACACGAAGAATTTCCATCCCATGACCGAGAAGAACTTGTTGAGAAAAACCTCTGAATCTAGACAAGCTATGTGGGCAGCTCGACCAATCATGGAGTTAGCGGAGCCCTGTTCCAGGGCGTACTGGATACTGTACCTGCAGGATATTATTAATTATTATCACATTTTGTTAACTATTATCAGTTTTATAGGGGATATTGAATATTGGTTGAGGTATGTTCAAAGAGTTCCCTCGTCTTATTATTTAGATTTCGCCTTCTTCGAGATTTACAAGAACACCCGTAAAGTATAGACTGCAGGACTGTTTTCAAAAAAACCTTTTTATTTGGATCTTCAGTTTTCAAAAGTTCCAAGTTTGTTTTGAGGCATCCTGAGAACAGGCCCCATGGCCCATAGGTAACATTCTGACTACCTAACTCTAGATAACTCAACTCGATTAGTTTGTGGTTGAAAATTACAACGGTCTCCTGTATGAAGTATGACTGAATTAATTATGGAGCCACCAGAATATTTTCTTCAGACTTTTCAGAATGCATTTCTTGTATCAGATTTCTCTCGCTTCGTAGTATTCGCAGCTTATTCCTGGAATAATCAGATTTTCTTTCACACAAATCTGATTTACAACACTGAACCTGCAGAAGGGTGCTTTTGATTTGCCGTGCAACTGTTAAAATTAATATACCATCGCGACCGATTACATTTTGTCTCTGCCAAAGTTATCTCTGCCAAGTCATTAGTTTTAGCTTCTTTTTTAATCGCTTGTAGTAAATGTCGCTTTATCATACCTATATTTTACTGCCTCGGTCCTATCTTAATTTAGGACGCACTGTTACAACAACAAAATAAGCAACTTCTACCTTACTATTAATTTAATTCATAGTTCGCTCTTCCCGTTACGTCTGAGGAATACGGAGCCACGTAACCAGTAACCGGTACGTGTTTGATACGTTACCTGTAACCGGTACGTGTTTGATACGTTACCTATTACGTTAGTTTTGCAACTTTCTAAAAACTTTATAGTGATAAATGTCGTTTATCTCACTCCTTTGGGTCTCTGTGACCGTTATTAAGTTATTATTACCGCAATTCCAGTTATTTGACATCCTAGTTCTACCTAGATGTCGTTTATCTCACTCCTTTGGGTCTCTGTGACCGTTATTAAGTTTTTATTACAGCAATTCCAGTTATTCGACATCCTTGTTCTACCTAGAATTAATTTATACGTGGCTTCTGTTTATTTGCCCGATACGTGACCTGTAACCGGTACATGTGTTTGATACGTGACCTGTAACCGATACGTGTCCGATACTCCTTTGGGTCTCTGTGACCGTTATTAAGTTATTATTACCGCAATTCCAGTTATTCGACATCCTAGTTTTACCTAGATGTCGTTTATCTCACTCCTTTGGGTCTCTGTGACCGTTATTAAGTTTTTATTACAGCAATTCCAGTTATTCGACATCCTTCTTCTACCTAGATTTAATTTATACGTGGCTTCTGTTTATTTGCCCGATACGTGACCTGTAACCGGTACATGTGTTTGATACGTGACCTATTACGTTAGTTTTGCAACTTTCTTAAAACTTTATAGTGATAAATGTCGTTTATCTCACTCCTTTGGGTCTCTGTGACCGTTATTAAGTTATTATCACCGCAATTCCAGTTATTCGACATCCTAGTTCTACCTAGATGTCGTTTATCTCACTCCTTTGGAAACGTGAAGAAAAACAATGTGTTGACCTTTTGCTTAGCAGAAGACGATCGATTCAACCCCAGCTGTCTCAGCTATCAATTTATCAGTTGCTCGAAGGCTGGTCTTGTTTCACGGTCTAATCTTATTTATTTTCCGTACAAAATACCAAAATTAGTTCAATTAGGATTATAAATGTCAGAAAAATGATTTAAATGGCAGCTTTTGTAGTTAATAATTTTCTGAAATAAAACGTACGTAAGGTATTTTTTAACAACATGCTAAAGTTTAGTTTGGATATTTGCCACTACTGAATATTATATAATGTTATCTCTACAACTTAGTTTTATTGAAATATGACGACCTTTAAACAATCTGAAAACTACGACTACTCCGAGTACCTGATACCACACGGATCACTTAACGGAGTTGCAATTCCGGGTTTCGTGACTCCGGAATTCCGGGCAGAATTCCAGAAAGACTTTAAACTCCGTCCGGAAAGCGACATATTCATCGTGACATATCCCAAGAGTGGTACTACGTGGATGCAGAACATTTTAAGGAAGATGTTATTTACTGAAGATACTCAAGAGTGGGCGGAAATGCCCCTAACTGAACGGTTCCCATGGGTGGATTATATACCTAGTTTATCGGTCACCGATTTGGAGAAAGTACCTAATCCTAGAGTGTTTAAATGCCACAACCATTCTCCTCAAGAGATGGACGATCAAATCTTCAAAGGTTAGTTTAATTTTAACAAGATTCTAGTTATTTTCTATTTTCTATTAGGTTACAAGTCTTTATGGGTATCAATGTTAATGAAATTTTATGTAGTTCTTCAATATTAAAGTAAACATCAATCTCAAACAAACAAACATTGCAGGAAATAGAAAAGCAAAGATAGTCTACGTGGTCCGAGACCCGCGTGACGCTTGTGTTTCCCTGTACCATCACCTACAAAAAGCAGGAATCTCAGACTGGATGAAGAAGGCCAATTTCACAGATTTCTTTAAAACTTACTTCCGGGATGGAAAAACGGTGTTTTATGGGCTCTGGGAGGATCACGTTAACAACTGGCTTTCTAGTCGAGATGAGTACGATATATTGGTCGTCAAATACGAGGATCTAATCGAGGACTCCTGTAAAGAAATATCCCGAGTCGCAGATTTCATCGGCTGTGATCTAACCCCAGAGGCTGTCCGCGGAATTGCGGAGAAAACTTCGTTTGCAAATATTAAAGTTCAGAATTTGTTTAAGGAAGACGGCCACGATGGGGTTCATGATAGTTTTCTCCGTAAGGGAGTGGTTGGTGATTGGAAGAACCATTTTGTGGACATGGCGGACGAGGAAATGATGCGCAAAATTGCTGACGATCTCTACAAAAAACACCAGATCTGATTTTTGTAAACATAAATATTGCTTACGTAATTCACTAGTTTAGTATTAGTATTGATTTCTGGTTAAAAACTTGTGTAATTGAAGTAGATTTAATTGTCAAATGCTGTGTCAATTTGTTTTAGATAGGCAATAAAACTTCGTAATTACTGACGATGTTAAAAAACTACAGGCTAAGCAGTGCTACCTTAGGACTGTCACACTTTTTTTTTTAAAGTGCTATAAACCAACCTTGATATACTACAATTAGGGTTGTCTATCATGGGTTGTACGATGTTGTGGACCATCTCTCTGTAGACGTGACCATTGTAGCTGTAGTCTCTCTTCGCGTCGTTACAGATCTCTATTCGAGCCGAGTGGAATGGCACGTATCTGAGGAATATAAAATTGAAACTACTTAGATGAATGAAATTGACGTTTTTTGTGATGTACGTTAATACCAATATGGCTAAACGTTGAATAATCCACTGGACGTTCACGTTTAATTTTTAAACAGCACCTTATAATTCAAGAAATTCAAGAACAATAATCTATACATAAATCTAAAGAATTCAAAGAATCTAAAGAATCTAAAAAATGTTTGACAAACCTGTCCTGTTGAGAAGAAACGAGGACGATGTTGGTGAAGTGGTGGAGTTTATCATTACAACTCAGCTTGTACACGTACGTTTGCTTTATATCGCTACTGTCTTTCATTGCGATCTAAAATTTAAATTATTTATGTAACAATTTGTTTTTATCTTTGGGAATGTAAAACTATCCTACAATCTACATACTGACGATATAGATATAATATTTTTGCTGCAGGAGTTCGAGGAATGAGTCATTTTATCAAAATCATGTTTACCCATATTTTCCCCAGCTACATATGTTTATAAATTGAAGTAGTAATTAGCAATTAGTAAGCTATCGACCTGCTGAAGGGATTTTCCAGCTTTGAGTCGCTGCATTAGCCACAGTCCTCCATTAACCAGGTAGCTGGGCGAGTACATCATTCCTAGATGAGGACCTGAAATGAACTATTTTAGATTTGCAAATCTTATGTATAACAATATTTCAAATTACGATAGGTCACAGTTCTAGTTCGTTAGAGAGGAGAGATGTCAAATAAGCGTGCACCGGCTCCCCACTAGAGATCACCAATCTCACTCACCTGACAAGCTGAGGAATGTGTGGAATTTGGAGGTGTATCTCTCCAAAAGAGGATCTTGTAACGCAGCCCTCACCACCAGTGTGCCCAGACTGTGGCCGATAAAACTGATTCTTTCGTACGGTTTTGGGGAGCAGATTATCGTCTGGACGATATCGTCCGCTAATAGTCTGAAAGTTTAAAAGTGACTAATGTTGAAGGAAAACCCTTGGTTGTGAAATAAAATGAGCTATACAAGTTGATAGTTGATACTTCACAGTTCACACGAGATCAAAATTAAATCTACGCTAATTTTACCTTCCCATTTCCTTTATATCCTGATACGTGTCCTCCATGTATGCGTCCGACATTAAGAAGTGCAGGTCGCTCTTGGGAAGGGCCGCTTGAAGGAATATGCGGACTTGTCTGAGGTCGTTAGATGCTCCTTCCAGTCCGTGCGCGCACACCACCAGGTGAGGCGAAGGGGAGTATGTTGTCGCCATCATTCTCGAGCCTGTGCAGTGGTTTTAGGGCTCAATTGTTTAATTACTTAATTGTTTAATTGTTAATTAATTGATATTTGATACCTATAGTGGATCGCCTATATACTAGTCTGTATCAATAACACATTTAGCGACAATTTAATGTTCAAATTCTTACCTTCAGTATCAGTCAGGAAATACATTGACTCCATTAAACTAGACCCGATGAGATCCCTCCTCGCTTGTTCAAAGTTCACATGCGTTACCTCCGACTTTAACAAACGTATGGTTTTTCTCGCCAGATCGTTTATTGTCTTGTGATTCTCAGGGATGAGGGATACTTCGGTGAAGTTAGGTGGACGAGGCCTGGTGGGTCGATCTGTGGAGGAAGTGGGTTGGATGGTGATGGTGGGCTGAATGGGGAGGTTTGGGTTGCGTGCGGAGGGTTCCAGATCTACTAATAGGAGGTTGTGCGTTTCCTCTGTTGTCGTGTAGAATGTGGAGTTAGAACCTGGGACATGTTAATGGATAAGTTAAATCTTCCTTGATTCTCAGGTGGTGTTCATGTGAATGTGATAAGATAATGCAAGTCACGATTCACAGGGTTGAAAAATTAGTGTTGTCTAAAAATTAAAGTTGTCCCTTTTTAGAACCAAATACATTTAAGAATGTTTCAAATACCCAACCCATTATTGATAGCATTCGGTATTAGCAGTTTATAGAAAATAATAAATAGTCATACACCTGTGAGTATGACAATTTTCCCTTGTGACTTGCCAACACAACCTTTTAGCCAAATTAAATTTGGCTAAATTTGATTTGGCTTAATTGAGTGACACGATCGCTCTTATAAAGACCAGATAAACTTGGATAATTGCATTATTGTATATCGCAAAGATTTTCGACTACATGCTGCATGCATGATGCATGGGGATCTGCTAACTAGTTCAAGAAATTCCTGGTTTTTTACAGCATGGCCATGACTGGACGCGCGCGCGCCGGCGCGCATGTATACGACAGGCTGTGCAGATTACTTTACATGACTTTCGTAACATGCGCGCGGCGTAAACGTAGTACAACTTTTGTAACCGTTCCAAAAGAAGTTTTGCGCAGCATGATCTCATGTTTCAAATAACATAATTTGCTCACAAACTTGATACACAGATTCTTCTTGCTGCACAAATAATCACATGCAAGTAGCCGGTAACTTCTTATTTTACATGGTAAGTCTTATGGAAGAAATGTGGACTGTGATAAGAGTACGAGACGATGCTCGAAAAATTTGAGTTAAATTTTCCTTTGAAAACAGGAAAATTGTACAGTTTACTAGAAAGAAACCTTACCCGAATAATCCAAAAGTTTACAGTGT